TAGCCTAGAACGCAACCACAAAATATCAGTAATAGAATGTGAAAGATCGCATGTAGCTATACATCAAATAATAATAATGAGTATTCATCAGATCTCATCTATTTTAGAATGAAATGTATTTTTATTCATCGGAAAAAGATTGTCATTTCAACACCTAAATGTTAATCTACTCGTTGAGCACTTCGCACCAGGATTTCACATTACGTATTGACTAAGTTCAATGAACTTGTTTTATCATAATGGAGGTGAGTAGCTCAGGACAGAATAACCTTAAAGTATTCCAGTAACCGCATTCTGAATCTCTTAAATCAATGCATCACACTGTAATGGCATCTTTCTATGTGTATGAAATCAGTAAGACTTTGTCACCGAAAGAAATTGTGACAATTCAATACATGTAAAGTATGTCGGTAAGTCATTCTGAGCATTATCATCTACTGTTGCTCATAATATGTGACCATTAATTCTGAGAGCTTTCCACTTTCATGTACACAATCACTTTCAAAATACTCACTAAGGAATATGTTGCAAAAAGTATTTATATTCTTGACTAGTTTAGTGTGTCTTCCAGAATTTCTTAGCTAACTTCTTCAAATCTCAATATTATCTTGAGTACCCACTACATTAACAAAATGACAAAGTGAAGAGTTTTTACACTGGGTAATTTTGCGATACTAATATCAATATCTCTGTTTATGAGCTAGTAGTTATTATCTGTTGTGCATTTACGAAAATAATTTTCCAAATACACAACTACAAATTAAGCCTTATATCTTTCACGGTGTAATAGTTTCCAACAAATATTTCAGCGTAAGGTGGAGATTGGTGTCACGTATCAGAGCTTATAGAAAATTTCACTTGTAAAGGCCTGTGAAATGCGTAGTCTTTTGGTGGCGTCAAAATGGTGGAAGTTCAATAATTTCCCAAAGTATAGTGAAATATTTCAGTTTTAGAATGTAAGCAGTTGTCTATCTTTGAAAAATCAGGAAACAACATTCTCCAGGTTGAAGGTAGGTGTTATACTAAAGCATCTTGTCCTAACCGGGAAGTTATTTTAGTTTCTCAAGAGTGATTTCTGAAATATTTCCTAAATTTACTTTCACTTTTTACTCAAGCTGTTGATTAATAATTACACTATGTTATCCTAAGGTTACGCCCAAAAACTAAAACTATTATTATGTTTTCATGTTGCATTCTATAGTGTTGCCATGATTAGGTCCTATCCTTAACGTTATGTCTTATCATATCAACTGAATTAATGAGAAGCATTTTTATTTAATGTACGCTAATGAAGATTGTATTGACTGAAATGTAAATAAGTGTGTACATAGTCTTAAACGGGTTGACTACCTGAGCAGTATAATCGACAAATCAGAATATTCGACCAAAAGATCAAATTCGTTTACTAACAGTTAGTTGTGGTTATTATCATAATTTACAAATATCGTTTCGCCAACAACTATGCTTCTTATATAAGGGGTAGTGTTTTGAGGCCCTTATCTTTAGAATGATGAAGAATGAATAGAAATAGCGTTATGCAAAATCTAAAACAAAACCACTTTTTGATAGTCGGTCTGAAGACTTTACATCAAGTTTGCTCTTAGGTAATGAGTACATTTATAAAAAGGGCAAACGTATGAAGAGAATAAAATTTATACATAAAGGTGATTGTAAAATATGGTATTTGGTGGTAACTTTCACAGTTGTGATACAACTTCTCAGTATACGTAAGACACTCTATTCTAGCTTACAGTAAGTGGATTATATTTAGCACTGTCAGCAACGAGAAAGAAATTTATAGCTTAAGAAACAGAACTGTCTGATTTTCTCTAAAAAGTAATGTCTGACAGTAGACATTTAATTGCCAGATTTGATGACATAATCAGGACTGACTTTATCAAGAATTCTTTTTCTACAATTGTAATCAGTGCGACCGATTTAACTTGAAATTCGAATTGTGACCAGTAAAGACTATAGGCGTTACTTCACAAACTAAGGGCAAAACAAACTGTTATCTGTCAGGAAATGAACATTTTTATGAGTAGAAGTTTATGTAGGCTATATTTCATCAGTTAAGCCAGCAGAATTAAAAATTTAAAATCAAACAGTCACCAGATTGTTGAGAATGATCAACTCTGTCACATATATTTAAAAATGTTTGCACTCTAGTGTTGGGATTTTGTTATGAATGCCGTTTACACTCAAACATGGTGGATTTTAAGACTAAACTGTAAAAACATTTTTATTTCAAATAAACAAATAGACATATTACAAGGTACAGAAATACTTTAACTTTGAGATAAAATGGAGTGATAACCTGTACGACACATTTGTATTGAAAAATTTTGCACCCTTTGTAGTAAGTATAGTTATTACCCTCAATTTAATTATTGGAATTCTTATTCCGTAAATAGATTTATCACAAGTATGTTTATATTTCCTCAAGAAAATCAATTAATTTTGGCTGCTTAAATATGACAGAAGAAAACTCACGGGTCCAATATGGAATACTTCAGTTTCTGAGATACTTCTGTGCATTTTATTGATTCTAGAAACTGTCTTCAACAAAAATTGTCAGTACGAGTCTGTAGAGGTGAAGAACTTGCTAGGAGAATTAGTATGCATGATTATTGCTTTCATGCTCATCATCCACATGGCCCTTGATTTGTAGACTATTTGTGACGGTAGACACAAGTACTTTGAATGCTAAATTCATTTATCGAGTCATCATTACCTTTGCAGCAAGCTACTTCGATCAGATAAGTTACTCTGAAGTGAAGATAGATGATAGACAATAACCGTTAGTTTTACTTAGCAAATATTCATCCATATTTGGTGTTGGCCACAAGAAGAAATTTATTAGAATGGGTTCCGATGAAACTGTTAAGCTCACAGAGTTTCAGTCAGTGGTGTAACAGGTAACCGTTGATAACACTTGCAGACTAACTCTTCTGAAGTATCCACTCTTGGATTCGTCTCTATTCTCATGCGCTAAAAAAACTCAGAATAGTTTATGTTTCAGGAACATATCTCGTAGGCACTGATAAAGTCTATAAGGAAATATCTTCTAGATTCGTGAGAATCACTATACTCAGACATTAACTAATCTTCCGGAACTATTTGCATCGCCAGTCTTTTTGTGAAATGGTATTCAAATGTAAACTCTCCTTTTCTACGCAGTAAGTGACCCCTAAATTCACAGAATAATTTCTTCTCCACTTATTCTGCTTAGCGACGTTATTTCACTATGCTGCTTGCCATAAGATTCTTATCTGAGTCTTCATAACCCAAAATTGCTCTTTGCAAGCCTATTTTTCAGAAGATTCTACTAAAATAATACAGCTTTCATGAACAGCTCCGATGCCAGTCTTAACTGCACTTACTTTATATCATAGGTAGATCGTATGAAGAAGGTGGTATATGTAAGCTTTTACTGATGCAAGTAAACCAGGATTCGAAATAAGTTCTGAAACTTTGTCGACGTTTTTGACTTAAAGTAAAAAAATATTTTTACCTATCTCAAAAATTTAAAGTATACTACGCAAATTTATTTTTGAATGGAACGGTAAGCGTTGACTCTGTAAACCTACGAACTAAACCCCTCTCTTTGATTGTGTCAAATATCGTAACTGTCAGTCCGGCATTCATAGCTGTAATTAGATTTAATGTATAGCAAAGTCTACTTGGTAAGTTTTGCTTTATTAGTATTCTCAAGGTGATACAATTTAGACCACTAAATTGTATGAATCGAAATTATTACATGAAAAATTATATTTTAGTCGGTTACAACAAGAAAGCGAGAATCTTAGAACGTACAACCTTCCCAGATTGGTTACACGAAAGTATTCGATTTGGCTATCAAGTACCGATCGAAAGTTATCGACAAGGTTTCTAATGTGATCATTAAGCTAGTAGATATAACATAACGGTACACTGTGTTACGTATTTCCAATCAACTTATAGGATATTCAGGTTAACCTTTGTTCATGCCTACTGGCACTGATCAGTAAAGTGGTGGTACTTCATTCTGTAGCAGTTCAAAATCACAAGATCAATCCACACTCAAATAGATCACCGAAATAATAAAAGGCGGAATTTTGTGGTCAGTAGAATTGCCTGTGCTGCAGAAATTAGGCAGACAGAAACAAACAACGATGCGTCATTAACACTATACAGTGATTAAGACAGCCAGTCTCTACAAAGATTTGTCTAAAGTTTAAGTCAGCTGTGTTGCCTTGGAGATCCTAAACGGAATCACTCTGTCCTTAAATCAAAGGTTTTCAACAATAATACCTTATAGTTTACTTGCTTCAAAATTGTAGATAACCCTCGTTAATGAGTATCAACAAGCAGGAAGTGAAGATTCAAGGCTTTCTCTCGATTGACTTTTCGTAATCAAAGCAATGTACCCGTGTACAATAATTTAAAACACAGAAAAGTTTAAAAATAATACTAAGAAATCCAAGATGGTAGGTCTTTATGCTGAAACTGGTGAATGGAAATGTACATTGTCATTTTGAATCCATCAACATGACCATTTGATCAAATCTAGACACAAAATGTAGCCCCTAAATCGATATCCTATAACTAATACAGATGCGTATAATTGAAGTATACAGAATTACGATAGGTGGCTGAGTGAACTACAGAAAGTGGTATTACTTGGCGGATAGGTTCAAACCAAACGAAGTAATAATATACCTTGTGAAATTGAGTTATTATTTAACTGAATTGTTGAAAATTATGCATTTCAAGTGGTAGAAATGGGTGTTTGCTTAATGCAGACTATTCGAAACAAGTGAGATAGAAGATATGTCTGGTGTCTGTTTTACATAATATTAAATCAACTAAGTAACCAAAAGAATTTTAAATAAGTAAAGCTGTAGCAATATTTCCACCTTCGCAAGAATATATTTGTTCCACAACAAATTATGTTGAATGTTATCAGTTTTAACAAATGAATAGGTATCATAAAAACGTGAACGGAATCAAAACATGAATTAACTTTCGGTACAGAAGGATAGTATACGAAATTGTGTTATACTGGTCATTCTGAAAATAAAAATTTTAATGATGATAGTATAGCTGAAAAAAAAGCTACATACTTTGTACTTTATGAAATGCTTGAAATTCGTACACTTAATGATGATACCTTTTGATTACCAGTCACCAGTTTCATCAATACCCTTTAAATAAAAATACGCAATACAATTAGTGTTAACAGTGACCCAAAGTAACAAAGTTATCAAGAATATTGTTGCTCAAAATGACTGAAATACTTTCGATCCTCTCTCCTTCAATGTATATGCTTGAATCTCAGTTGACCTAATCATCATATGAAATCACTTCCAAACTAGTGCAGAAATTATCTACTTTTGACTTGGCAAATAAATGCACTCAAATGAAATGTCGGAAAATTTTTAAAGAATAACATTTGTAACAGTCTTTTTAAAGCGAAGGTTTCATGCTAATTAATCACAGTGTGTTTTCTATTGTCTTTATATGTCTTTAAATGTAATGAAATTCACTGCTAGGTATTATCAGTTGTTTTCCAAGAAATAAACAAACATTTACAGAACTCGTGTTTTGTAAACCTTGCGCAAGAAAAAGGAAGGTGATTAGTGTTGGTCTCATGGACAAAAAGTAAAAATTAACACATGAGACTCAGTCAAGAGAATCCTCGCAAATCACCATTGATTTATAAACGTATGACGATACAATTATCACGACAAGATGTTTTGGCCTGTTGAAAACTGACATATTTTTAAATCGTTTTCTTCATGGACTGATACCAAACAGACAACCATTGACCAGTGACGGTCAATCAGACAGATGAAATAACGCACAATTACGCAAAAAAATACATCTGCGCAAGTTCCGATGCTTTGAAACATCAAGCATCAAGGAAATCACCTAAGATATGTGAATATTGAAATGAAAACGAAGGCTATTGGTGTAAAGATTATCAAAGTTGTAATGAGTGGATTCACTGGCACTGCGTTGCGACTAATTTTAGCTACGTTACTGTGAATTAATGACCACTAACTTTTAACCTCAGTTAGGTAGACAGAATTTATTACACAAACCAATACGACGTCTTAATCTGACTCCTCAAACTTGTATCAATGTAAACAAACTTCACTAAACGTTTTGTATCAGAGAAGATATTGGCTGTGTAAGTGTAACATATAGTCAAACCATTTAAATAAATCCAGATATACACCTCAACAACTTTGTCTTGATACCACAATTTAACCGTTATTCTAATCAGCGCCAGCACCTATAATCCAAAACCATATTCTCATGATTTCATTGAAAATTAGTAGCCACGTCTAACAGTGATGAAATGAAATCGTGTAAGCAAGGTATTGAGACAGCAGATTTTTATGAAATATTTTGAGTTCGTAAACTGTGCTTTCTTCGTAACAAAATTCGAAATACAAAACGTGACAGAATCGTATAAATTGTATGCCGCCAAGAGCCATTTCGTATATCGAAAAAGCTTCATGCAGTCAGACTGCATGGTGTGAACATCAAAGTCAAATGAAATTGTGAAGCCTACAATACAGAGAACGGCAATTACTTCCTTTCAACAACAAAAGAAATAATCAAGTGTAATGAAAGTTAGCGCATACACAACAGATGAGCATAAATTCAGAGCAAATGTAAAAGTAAAGATGTCAATCAAATTTCACTGATGCTAATACACAGAATACTGTAAACTCAGAGTTAAATATGCCTGAAAATCTTGATGATGAGGATATTAATTTATGCAAATCTGAGAATTGAAAGATTGAATCTATTTATGAAATCAACTAAAAAATAATTATTGCCAGAAAAGTTACTGATAAGCACAGTTTCAAGTGAATCTTTATTATATTTTTCTACTTTTTGGATACTTCATGTATACTCATACATAAATCAGTGTTGAAGATTGTCTCCGAAATATAACAAGTTGAAAAGCAGGATTTTAGTGTTAGCTTGTTTACTAGTCAGTTTGAAGGTTTTGTATGCCTGAATTCAATAGCATTAACTTACTGCTAATGCTCTGCCGGAAGAAAATGGAATATTATATTTTGGATAAACTCATCATAATGAACTCAAATAAATCAATTTTAAGCCACTCTTCACCTTCTATGGCTTCATCAGTCATAACTCTTATGGTTCATTACCTAATACCGACCAATTGATGGTGGTTAGGATTGTGTGCCAAAGTGACCCAACGAGCTACCTTGACTGAAACGCTCATTACCTCGAGGTCTTACCACGCCAAAAAGGTCTTCTTGATAGTGATACGACAAAACGCACTTACCGTTACAGTGCAAATTACTGCCTTATGATTAGAGTCCGAGGGTGAAGTCGTGCGGCCTGTTAAACAGGAGTGTGACAGTAGTAAGGTGTTTCTCATAGTTGACCAGCATGCTGATGCTGCATTCCCTGTAGATAGGGGGCCGTCCCTGGAAAGAGAAGATTTTTTCCACTCTGTGGCATACCCATGCCGCGTATAGTTGGGTTGGCATAAAATAAAATATCAAACTTCTAAAAAGACTGTATGTGACCGGTCTCACTCAGATGTCGCATAAGCTTTGCAGTCATGCAACAACTTTTTTCAGGTACCTCAAGAACAACCAGATTTCCACGGTATGGGCAGTCAAGAAGTGCCAGCTGCCCTTACAACTCTGTCAGTACCCAAGTTCCCTTAGATCACTGTCCACCTTCCGCATCCTTAACTTCTAATCTTTCTTCATATCTCTCTGTCAGCATTCTTACTACATCTCTAATTTCTTCCAACTCTACAGATCTTGACGACGATGAGTTCAAGGAACAACCGCACTAACAGCTACACGTTTGAACTTTCAGTGTCCATACCGTAAGTCAAATCACCCAACAAGCTTCACTAGCCAGAACTCTAGCGTCTAGAGCCACGGATGTGGGGTGTGTTTGCGAGACACGCATACATAACCCAAGTGCAGCTATTGACTCAGCCTCACTCTACTAATATAGTGAATCCACAAAAATCACCCTTCAACTTTCTAGACATATGTTCGCTAGATCTTGCAGTCTTGCAGGTATAGGCATAGCATTAAGTGCGAAGGCAGAAATGCACGCTTCGACTGAATCCCAACTGACAGTCCCCAACGCGCTGTTTGACTGAATGACACAGTGAGGATTAGACAGAGTAGTGAGACCCACCGTTGTATCTTTGTTATTTATGCTTACTCATACACTGACTGAAGTTCAGATGAAGTGAAGAGTGAGTTTTACTGAAAACCGTCTGGCCTCTAACTAAAAGCCAAACGATCAGAAGTGGTTATCGGAGCAGATGATTTCAATGCAAAAGTGAGTAGGTTAAATCAGGCTAAAAGGCACTTAAATGGAAACTTCGTAATCTCAGCTGAACAAGCAGATAATAACAATTGCTTGCTACAACTGTGCCCAGTTAAACAGCTATTTCCGGCCAACAAGAAATTCCGACACGAAGAGAAACATTGTTTGACGCGGTGTACAGCAAACTCAACTCAGTGGTGGACATTGACAGACCATATTGCCATCAGTTATCGCTGGAGAGGGTTAATGGAAGATTATCGCTTTTTCTAAAGCACGTATATGGACATCAATCATGCACTGGTTGTGTGTGTTTACGTCTGCATCTAAACGGATGTAGAAAAAATATAGCAACAAAATCATCGCGAGTGTAGTTTGACAGTGAGAACATTAAGGCTGCTATAACCGGTAAACTGGCTAGACAGTCACCGGAACAGGATAACACCAGTCACCCGAAAGAGGTCTAGTATCATCTCCAATCTACGGTAAAAACAGTGTTGAAGACCATAGCCAACTATCAGAAAGTCGTTAAAAAGGACAGGTAACTCTCAGCAGCTCCTTCTGAATTAATTGATGTAGGCCCTGATGATAACGACGGTCGGGAAATAACTCAAATATAGACTGACAAAAATGCAACCCAATAACCTCAAACATTGGTGGATAGTGAAGGCTAACGAGTTGTTAAAGACACCAGCGATAGGTAAGTGAACAGTTGTTTAGGCTTATCTGGGAATTCGAGGCGAAAACGTCAGTGATTAGTGAAACCATAGCGGAGAAGGATGAGTCTGTGATTCACTCAAAGAGAAGGTGACTGGAGCGATGGGCGGAACAGTTTAGCTAGCCCCCAGCAACTATTCCCCAGCCCACCACCCAGTCGCATCTGGAATGGGACATTGAGATAGGTGGACCCTTAAAACTTATAAAAGTCGTCAAAGATATAGGTAACCTGAAACGTGAAAAAGCACCAGTCTCAGACGAGATAGTTCAGGAGGCTTTTAAGGACGGTACCAGGAGATTATTGGTCAAAGTAACCGGGTTTTTAACTAGTTTACGGGAGTCGGGTATAACCCACTCTGATAGGTCTCAATCACTGGTGGTCCCAGTCTTCGAGAGAGGCAAGAAGTCTTCTTGTGGTAATCACAAGGGAACCAGGTTGATGAGTATATTGTCTTATATTCAATCATCTATACATATTGGGTGTCTAAATTCAGCCCGGCTTTAGACCTGGTCATCAGTGCTTCGATCAGATGTTTGCACTCCACCAAGTTTTGGAACCCATGCAAAATTACAGATGCCCGACACTGGCCACATTACCCAGGATGAAGGTGGCATTCATTTCCATCGATCTAGAGGTCTTATTGCATTGTCTCTCTCTGAAATGGATATCGAGTAAGTATATCACTCTACAGAAGGTCCTGTAGTGAGTTATCTGGTGAGTTATGGACTTCGAGTGGTATCGATCAAGGATGTCCACTCTCCATTCTTATTCATCTTCATCATATACGAATCTATGGAGGTTCTCTTCTCGTCGTCTGACTTTACGGAGATTCGTCCCATCACTGTAGAATCCTTCTTAGATCTACAGCACATCGACAATAGATGGTCCTGTTAGGTGAAGACGCTGACAAGATACAGAATTTTCTAGACACCCTGAGTGCCAATTTGAGAATCTTCAGTATGCATTTCCCACCACCGAAATGAAAATGTTTACTTCAGGACTGGTCTTTAATGGTGCTCTGGGGAACAATAGGGAATGAAGTGGTTGAGTTCACTGACCACTTCACTTACTTGAGAAGTTATATCAGCCTTGGTGAGTCAGTAACCAACGGAATCTCCACGCGTATACAAAAATCTTTATTTGCTTCAGTGTACTGTGCTGCAGTTCACTCTTTCCTACTATATGGATGCGAAACATAGCCATTAAAGGCGGAGGATATTGGAAGGCTTCAGGTATTCGACCATCATCACTTCCGTAGCATAGGTCGTGTGTTGTGGTGTCACCACATCCAGTAACAGAAGTCATATGCAGAGCTTAAGGCAGGAGAGGAAAGTCATTTTTGGTGATATCGTAAACCTTCATTGACTGAGGTGCCTGGAACATATGTTTTACACATGCCTCGTTGCACAATGCTAGCTGAAGTGGGTTTAGGAGGGAAAAAGGTTAGGTAGGGAGAGATCAATGCATTGCACCACTGAATGAAATCTTTGACTGTTGGTCTGAACCGCGTAAGCAAATTTAGACTTCCTGTTTGTGGTCCGCGTAACAACAGAAACTAGTGGTTGGGGATTTTAGGTAATATGATTCAGTGGCACAGAGATATCCACACATTATCTTCATACTGAATTAAGTATTTTCCTATTCCTTGTTGTCATCTTATCACGACTTTCTACCACTTTTGACTGTTTTTTTATTTACTTTTCAATTTAGTACTGTCTTGATGTGCTGATGTGAGGTGTGTTAACTTGAACCATAGCGTAGTAATGCCTGCTCCTGTGTTGATCGTGTCTGTTGTCTGTGTGTTATTATACAATGCACAAACTCCACGTGGTTGCTGAGCCGTCTGATTAACAAACGATAAAAATATTATATAGTCCGCAACATTCTTAACTAGACAATGCATTTTTAATATTACAGGGTAAGTCGTATTTTGAAAAGTAGTAACAACAAATGCTTGGCTGGATTGCGCTGTTCTTAAATCAAGTAATAATTCAACTTTCCCTAGATTTATCAATATCTTTATGATCAATCCTGAACTGTCTTCAGAAATCGCACTAATTAATCTGTAAAAAGTTTTATTTTCATAAAAATAGGACACGGTAGTGACTTACTTGATTAAGTTTTTTAAATTCAACCAATTCATTGAAGATTACCTCTAAAATAATACGGGATGTTCGTTTATCTGTCGGTAATTTTTGTGATACGCCTAAAATATCCCCACATTCACGAACATAGTATTCTAAGTCTTCTTCATTACCTAGGTTATAATAAATAGAAAATAGAAAGCTATTCAAAAAATGTTAGTTGAGTTATTTAAAAGAATGTGCTAAGCCAGCAGCAGAAGTTTCTGTGGCAATAAGCTATCAGACAAATATTAACATTGGATTTATTACGACTGTTTAGTGATTCAATTTTCCTACTGTTCACAACAGTGCAATTAAGAGGGAAGTGCCTTATGAGATGAAAAACACGTTGGTCCAAGGACTGGATGTCTGTCAATTAAACCAATGGAATTGAAGTCCTACCATATGGAAGTACATCAACTGCTCTCTCTCTCTCCCTCTCCCTCCCTCCCTCTCTCTCTTCCTGAGATGATGAAAAATATTTGTAGCTCAGGATGAAGGTGATTGTGGTTTGGCATTCTCTGAGCTCAGAGAACACCAAATCCCCGTGTTAATAAGCTACTACGCTAGTCCGATGTGACCCTTGAATATGCCACGGGATTTCCTGTCCTAGATATCCACGGTTAGTGGTGAGAAGAGAAAACAATGACAGTATATAAGAGGATTTAAATAATCTAGTTCTCTACAAATTGATTCATTATATTTTCCAACCAGATCTCAATACAACCAGGCAAAATAGCATAAAAAAAGTCTATAATTGATGCAAACAAATAATAATAATGCAATATAGATTCCAAGTTAAACAGTGTTCCACTACATTAAAATGTCTTTCTGTCATGATCACCGAAAAGACACATCACAACCCCAAATCTTGTACTCTATCGTCCCACTTTTAATCCATTGTAAAAAAGCCCTGGATTTTAGTGTTTCCCATTCATGACGTATATATTGCATATATTGCAGTTCATTTATTTACCAATAATTCATCATGAAATGTATATGTATGTTGCTGTATGTGCACTACACTAGCAATGCTCAATACGATGTCAGAAAACATGTCCGGTTTATGCCACAATGCAGAAAACTCACAGATGTTTTCTCACTCCTAATAAAATAGGTTTACAGTATATATATATATATATATATATATATATATATATATATATATATATATATAGAGAGAGAGAGAGAGAGAGAGAGAGAAAAAGAAGAAAAAACAGAGAGCAAGTGAGTGGAGTTTTTACATCAACATAAGAATGCGTCTAAGTCAACTCTAATCGCAGAGTTATATCGGATGAATCTACACTGGAATTAAGTCAGCCAAGTTCAGATGACCGAACCCGAAAGTCTACCAGGATTCCATTTGTATCGGGGTACCAGTTGCAAGACTTAAGGCAGATAAAGTTCACGATAACTGTTGTAAACTGTTGATCAGTTCAACTTACAACAAAAGCCAGAAAAGTTTATCTGACAAACAGAACAATTTGATCAATCGAACTTTTAAAGTTCATTTTACATCCAACCGAACCTCAGCAACAGTTAACCTGAGGGAGATAAGCAGATAGAATACTTGTTCAGAAGTATATGAGATCTAAGTGTCCTACCGAATTCTGGAAAACAAGCATAACTATTCTTCCTACACTAACAACATAATTGTCCATTTGTATGTTGATATTGGCTGAGTGGATTGAGAAGTATTTTACTAGTACCTTTATTTGAATTGAGTGCTGATCAATCATATAAAATCACTGATAGTATTGTATTAAACCAATGGAATTAGGCAAAGGAAAGCTTTATGGCAGAGAAGTTTTGTCTATGCTGCCCTATCTAATTTCCTCATGTGTGCTTCTAGACATAATGCGACCTACCTCCAAACTTAATTTACATCAAGCAAGAATACTTAGATGAGATATAGCTACTGAAATTAAATACTAAAATCATAAAAGGTTTTCTAGGTGCCTTGTTAGAATCCATATCTCTCTTCTAAAACGGGTGTCACTTCAAGAATGGTTTGTATTGAAACCCGTCGTGATAATAGGCAGGGATAACACTGGTCATAATGGCTACCTGTCTGATATGGGGAGTTACGTTCGCTCTTACATGGTCGATGGTTGACTGAATCTCGTTCTACTGTTGCCAATATACACGAATTATGCCGAAGGCAATGCATCAATATTTGCATTAAACGCAAAGTATGCAGATTTTTAATTGTTTTATTAATTCGCGCAGGAAAGATGAGAAAATGCATCAAACATCCCTTAATTTCCAACCAAATAAATATGGTAATAAAGTTCTCATTAACATCCTCAAGTACATCCTGAACTTGATATGATAAAGCTGTATCGCCATATCAAAAGAGAAATATGTATTTAGAACTGAGTAGAGAGAATATTTAAAAATATCACGCAATCATGCGCATAAAAAAGCAAACAAGACAAGAAATAATTGTCTACAAATTACAAAATCAGCTTAATTGAATTTGGGGATTTGTCAAAAGTTAGTGATTTTTCAAGTTAGTATTCATCATGGACGAATCAGTTGGAGGAATATTGAAAACCTGAGAACACCGGATAGCTTTTTCGTCCTAGTATGGGACTCTTCAGCAGTGCGCATCCATGACCCTCCAGGGATGATGAATACTAACTTGAAAAACTACTAAATGCCTTACAAACCTCTAAAACTGAATTAATCTAGCCCTCATTGATGACTGGCTTTAAGAGGTGATTCTTGAAGCTTCAATGAGAAGTCGTGATCAGCGGGGCAAACCTGGTTGACGTGAGGACAAATACTCAACGATGACATTGGATGATGGTCGCCCTATGTTGTGAAATGGCAGAAGTTGGAAATATGGACCATTGGATTCCAACCCAATGGCTAGCTCAATGGTAACGCGCTGGTCACAGGACCCGAAGGTCCTGGGTTCGATCCCTGGAGGTTCAGGGTCATGGGTGTGCACTGTAGAAGTCCCACAATAGAATGAAACAGCTGTCCAGTGCTCCCAGGCTTCCAATGTTCCTCTGACTGATGTCAGTTTATGATGAAGACCGACTTGAAAAATCGGCTTAGTAATTTTAATGAAATCAACATGATGTCAACCAACTGATGTCAGTCTTCGATGAATAACAACTTGAAATATTTCCAAATCTCCACAACCCCCTCAAAATTTAATTGAACTAGTGCTCGTTGGTGACTAGCTTCGAGAAGTATTCCCGAAGTTCCAATGACAAGTCGTGACCGGTGGAGTCAAAGCCTGATGGCCGTGAGGACAAATACTCAACGATGACATTGGGTGGCGGTTTGCGCTATATCGTGAGCTAACAGAAGTTGGAAATATGGAGCATTGGATTCTGACGCAGTGGCTCAATGGTAACGCGCTGGTCGCGGAACCTGAAGGTCGCGGGTTCGATCCCTGCTGGTGGGGTCGTGGGTGCGCACTGCTGAGGAGTCCCATACTGGGACGAAACAGCTGTCCAGTGCTCCCAGGTTCCCTTTGTTCCTCCAACTGATGTCAGTCTTCGATGAATAACAACTTGAAACATGATAAAAGTTAACTGCCTACTGGAGTTAACAAAAGTCTACACATGTTACGGGATAAGAAAGTTGTTAATTATTCGAAATTTTACATGACGTTAATCTGTCTTTTTGTTGAAATTACGACTGAAGATGTACGGAAACACGTACACCCATCCGATCTAAATGTCAATTTCTAAGGTTACTTTTTCGACCACTACACTACTTAAGCAATGCGACGTAAATCCTACCAACGAACAGAAAATTATCTGAGGAGGATAATGTCTGGTGTTATCAACTATTCTAATTAACAGCCTTGATTACATTACTTAATGAATAATTCCTCACGTAACAAATATACATAATAACCATATTTGTATTTTTTTAACCATAAATTGAGTGATTTTATTTTGTCAATGAAATCAGAGTCGCCCACGTTATGTTTATGATTATTGGCCTTTATCTCTGTTTGGTCCGAGAAAACCTAATAACTTCAAACATAAATTCAATTTTCATCCTCTTCCCTATCTTTACCCCTTTCACATATGTTTATTTGTTCAGACTTTGATTATCTACACATTTCATCCTTTAGTATTATTTAATTAATTTTTTTAAATTTTGATCTACATTGTTTGCTGAAATGTTTGCGGTACCATGCTATTCCCATTATTCTTACCACCCTTGAGATTATTACTATTATTATTACTTTCTAGATATCTACTAGTTCCATGCTTCATGTCCAAGTTACCGCAGCCTAAATAATCCATCATGATTGGCTAAATGTTTTACAGATGAGAAAATTTATATTAGCGTAAAGCCTGAAGAGAGCTAATTGAAAACAATATTGTTCGCTTATGTGTCATCCTCTGATTATTTTAGTGGCATGTTTGAATGTTATCTTGTGACAGAACCAATTAAAAACAGTAATTATATTTCTGGTAAATAATTATTTAATCTTTTAAAGTTTCCATTATTTCGAACTTACATTTATTAGTCACTTGTGCTAAACGTGCTTTAGGCGTAGAAAACTGTTCATCCAGATCAAACAATTCTAATGATGGAGGACCAGGTTCACGAAAGTTTGGAGGAAATACCTTTGTAAAAGATTGGTGACTTTGTTTCAGTGATACTCAGGATAAAGCGTCATAACTTAAGCAAACAATTTTATCAGTTCTAAAAATAGAGATCATGTAGCAAAGTTAAGCAAAAGGTTTATAACAATTACCCTAATAACAGATAAAACGTTGGTAGAGATGCAAAAGCTTATCTGGGATTCCATAAATCAGGGGAATTCAAAACTAAAAGCCGTGACCTGTGGGGTCAACCAGTCGGAAGTGAAGTGGATGCTAACTGAATACCTTGGGTGACAGTCGCGCTATGTCGTGAATTGACAGAAGTTGGAAATTGTGAACCACTGGAAACCGACCCAGTGGCTGAATGGTTGACGCGTTCGCCGTGAAACCTGAAGGTCCTGAGTTCAACCCCTAGCCGGGTCGTGGGTGCGTACTGCTGAGGAGTTCCATACAGGACGAAACAGCTGTCCAGTTCTCACAGATTTTCAATGGTTCCTCAACTGATGTCAGTCCATGATGAATACTACTTCTAATTATATCTCTGTTTGACTACCAATAGTAGGACATAAAATACAGCTATTTATTGTGGTATTTTATATAGTTGAAAAAATGTTCTTTCAAGAAAAACTTAAAACTTCTAAATGTCCAACTTTTAGCATGATGGCAGGAAATTACTTTACTCGGAATACTGGGTGAGGATTGAAAATGAAATGGAGATTTGAACCGCTACCGGACTCGAACCAGCAACTACCTTCAGTCACCACCCAGTATAAATACTGCAAGTCTACCAAACCACGACTACCTCAAATTTCTCAAGTTTGTACATCCTTTATCTCTCCCTTGGCCAGGGATTACCTAGTTAATAACTCTGTCATTCAGTTATTTTTTTTCCTACCCCCTTTCGTATACCTACTGTATTTGTCTAGGCTTCGTTTATCCACTTACCTCGACCTTCACTATTACGTAACTTTTATTTTCACAAGCTTTTGACCCATTTTGATTATTGCAGTGTCTACATTTTCATGCTGCTACCTTGGTTCTTATCATCATTATCACCTATATTGCATGTGCTTTAGTCAACGTTATCACTCTCATCAATTTCATTATCATTATTTGTATTATTATCTCCACCGTTATATGAAACATCACATCAACCGACAAATAAAACTATTTGTATTAGAGTAAAGCCTGAAGAAGATCTAATTGAAAACAATATTGTTTGCTTACATGTCTTGTTCTAATATACATGATGGGAATTTTTAAAACTCCGATATCTCAAATAGTCAAAATGATATAAATTGTTGTTAAGTGTAAAAATGCACATATATAACTACGTATAACAAATATGGTGACTTATTCGACAATACAAAATCTCTTTTCCATGTAAATTACGGTGTTCTATTCAATAATAATTTAACTTGACCTTATCTAATCTTTAGTGTTTAACAAATGGGAAATGTTAAACTGGCTTTGCTCAGCTCTAGTTTTATCTCCCTTAGTACATATTGCATATGTCCACTATGAGTACTACTATTGTTAAGCCATCACCTTACGTGTTGTGAGGATAAAAAATATTGTGAATGGTGAAGAACTTCTTTGCTGGGGTTAAGTATTTATAGTATTTTATATCCTTTGAACTGGGTGTTTAAACTGCAAGGCTTCTGTTATTATACTGAAGTATCACTAGTTCATTTTAGTCTGTTTAATGGAATGGAATTACACTTGACCACAGTGCCCAAGTTTTACACTTATATTAATATCACTAGCTCAAACTTCAGGAAGAAATGAGTCGCATATGAACTTTATTCAACACAAAGTAGTTCTTCACTAATGAAGCCATCTACTATCACTACAAAATAAATGAATATCTATACAGGTTCATGAGGAAACGTTTTTCGCCAGGAACTCTATTACCGGTGAGAGTAACGCCGTATAACACCGGTGGACTCATGAACGTTTTCGTCATCAATGTTGCCCACAAACTAATGAGCTTGCTGTAGACACTACTGCACAAATCTAGGAACTCCAGTGTAAAGCCATGTGAATCAAATAACATACGTGTAATCAGTTGATTAAACATTTCCCAACACTGTCATACAGAACGAATACATTCTTCAGTTTTTTCCAAAAAAGTAACAAAATGCATCATATTCCGGGCCAATGGAGATATGTTGAATAAAGCTCATGAATTTGTTAAGAAGCCTGTGAAGACTTCCAGTTATCAGTTAGCCATTGTCAATAAGAAATATAGCAATACTCTTTAAGGGTCCAAAGTGGTCACACTCCACATTGCCACATCAAGATACGAGATGCAAGTACGCGAGAGAGATTATGAAAGGTTGATACACAGATTGAATGTGAACTGACAAAAACATCACACGCCTACTAGGAAAAAAAAAGATAGTTCACCAATAGCAACTGATGTAATTCCCAGGTTCTAAATGCTGATCAAAGTTCATGACTCAATTGTGTTCAAAGGAAGTCAGCAGAAAGCCCTACTTGATCTGAAACTGATCAGCGAAAAGTATGCGCAGCCCTCAGGAATCTTATGTTCCTTCATTCAATACTGAAATAGCAGACTTTAAAAAAGCAATTCAGGTCAATTAGTTTATCAAGTAATCCAACCCAAGTCAACTGCTGGGCAAATAAAGCAATCAGCATAGGCAGAAAACCAACCAATTACAATGTTAACTCGAAGAACCAAGTGAGTTCATCTTCCTAAGAAATCCTACATTATCTACATTGGGGAATTACAAGATTTTTCTTGCTGAAATTAGTGTTGTGAATGTTCCATAACCTTACAATGCATACTTTACAATTCGAAAAACCAGCTCATATATTACAAAACTACCAGGTCTTGTGAACATATATACACGTAACTACCACCTAAATTTACTTGCTTATTATATGCACTGAAATCTAGTAATGACGATCATGTTTTTGCAAACATGATAAAAGAAACTGGGAAGGAATCATATACTAAAATACCAGACTTGAACGAAATATAAAAATTCACCTTAAATTGTTTTTGACATTATTGGCCGGTAACACTTATTTGGGTTTGACTCGTTTCATGCCCAACCAAGGATCAGTGTCACGAAACAATGGAAAATGTTAGGAATTTACAATTTGCCGACAAGAATACGTATTCTGATTGGTGCAACACTATGGTGAATTTTTCAGCCTTTCCCGTACTACAAACTAAAGACAGCAAAAACACTGACCTTTTAAATATTATGTGCACATGAATTTAAGTTCCGTAAAACCGTAATAATTCCTTCGCTAGGAATGGGGGAGCTTATAATACATTTATCTTCCCAACAAAAGCTATCTGGAAATAAAACTGATAACATCATTGCTTCAATAAAAATTGAATTAGATGTACTTGGTAAAGGCAGTTATAACTGTTACTCCATTTTAGTCCGTTTATTACAAATATCATACAGTAAAACAGTATTACTTACTGGATGACGTTTCAAACATAATTTATTATCTATGGTCAGATCAGGTAACTTCCACAACTTTGGGACATGATTTATATAGTTCTCATCCTCTTTCCTTCTCTGTGATGACAAGGGTAGTAGAATTTCCCATATATCTGGGACAGATGCAGAGTCATTCCTATTGCATGTATTTGGTGTTGATTCGATAAACAAAGATTCGGTTATCAATCTCTCCCTTCACCCAACTAAGTTAGTTTGTAATAATATGGCTGTATCCCACCTTACTGTGTAATTGTGTGTAATTACGTGCAGGGCTATAGCCAAGCTTCTCTCTAAATTTCTTATCTTATTAGGGTCTACCAATCTTGATTTAGCTAAGTTTTTGTGCTCTGTTATTCTAATTGAACCCAGTCGACTACTTTGACCTATTTTTGGTTTATTAAATCCTTTGCAATGATTGCGAGGTCAAATATGTGTCTTGTGGACAGATAACTTAGAGGTATGTGTGCATCACTCAGTTCACAAAATACAAGGATAGTGAGCACCAGTCTTTGTCTCCTACTATACAGAGGAAAGAGAAGAAGACCGCCAGTTAAGCTGTTCCAAATATCTTGCACTGTGATCAACTCACTGAGTGACTCATCTATGAGGGCAAGGTATAGTAAGTGCAGAGACATTAGGAGAGCGAGGAGTGCAAAACGTCTATATTACCTAAAAGTGTCAGAAAGAGAATTTTTGGGGTTATCAATCTAACTATGCGGATCAACCAAACCAATTTATATGCAGTTATAATAGTAGATTTAAAGATTAATGAAGTGTCCACTTCTACCAATGCAGTGTTATTAATTAATGCGATTTGTCCTACAAGTATGTTTAGCTTCGTTTTACTTGTCATCGCATCCTTTTGTCTAGAGTATGGAGTAAATTGATTGTGTTGGCCTAATAGTAACAGTAATTCCAAACGGTATCAACATTCGTTTTCTGTAAGGTCGTTTTTGACCTCAGATTCATTTTTTAACGGACTGGTCTTTCTGACTTCCTGACACGATCCGAAATTCGAATCGCCTCACGAAAACCACTTTTGCTTTATTACACACTTGTTATTCGACTACTGTATTAAGGAAGAAAGAGTTTATGTTTCCTAGTAAGAGGTACACCGAAATTATCATGGCAACTTTTATAACTAGGCATGCCTAGTTTCCCATTCGCAGTGAAAAGTGGGTTCTCAAATAAGAACAGACATTTTATGAACTTATTTTCATAAATGGCTAGTTAATATTGATCAATCTGTCGTGTGGAAAATATCTACATTTTCAAATTCACTGCAAGTTTCCTAGTTTCACCGAAAATAAAAACTTTTAGGATTGGAAAAACAACATTCTAGGTCAAAAGTCGAATATAAAAACGTAGTTCATAGCCATTATTATCTACGTTAATATAGATCAAAATAACGACAAAGTTTGCAAGGTTGTGAAACCCACTACTTTTCAGATACAGCCAGGTAAGTTACTATCACCAAATTATACTGGCAAAGATGGCAGCACTAAAAAGTAACCATCGGTGAGCATTGTAACCAGATAGATCTGCATCTGAAAACAAACTGATCAAAGCTAAAGTAAGGACCTTATGAAGCTGAAATTCAAGAAATCTAACCACTGCTCAATTAATATCTTAAGGTCGGAAAACCAATCAGTCAGCTATGTGAAAGTTATCAGGATAAGATTATCTCTTCATTAATTTAACTCAATAGTGATGAAATCTTGTTAAAAATGGGATGGCATCACGGGATATGGGGATTTTTATGTCCTATCCCTAACAAAAGCTAACTTTAACACAAGTTGCGATATGTTATGAATTATATTAAGCGTTATTCTTATCCTCAAAACGACACTTGAATACGCAATTCGAAATTAGGCACTTTATCACAAACATCAACTACTAAAACATACCGAAGGTAAATGTGGTTCAGAATACTTTAGTATAGTGACTGAGTTTTGATCACAGATGTTTTCATAGTATTTATCGCATTTGGTGGATCACCTCGTGAATAATGTTGAGATGAAGCAAAGGGTACTAGGGAAGACAGACAAGTCGACTGATGAGGTTGTGAACCTTTATCGGCGGACACGTAATACGCATACTGAGCCACCGCCTACTTCGACGTGCCATGCTAGGGGAAGTTGGATTAGGTTGTATGAAGGATCGTGGTGGCCAGACTAAGACGTGGCACCAGTCAATGAAGTCCCTAACTGCTGGTCTGAGCCATATGGGGAGATGTAGATTGCCTGATTGGGGTCCTCGAGACGAAACAAATCAGTGACTGGGGACTCTTGGTGACATGGCTGAAAATCGGTCGCAGTGACGCAGATGCATTCAGCCCTTGGCATCTTCTAAAGCTTCAGCATTCGCACTATCCATTGTCCTCAGATTGTTCAATCTCCTACATTACTTTATCTACTTCGATATCACTCTTTTTCTGTCCTCCTGTTTCCTTTTGCAATACTGTGAACTGAGGTAACTTTAGTCAATGCAACTGTGTGCGAGATTTTACGTTGATTTTGTTAGTCAGTAGAGACTGCAAGACACAAAAACAACCACTGGGTTGACATGCATGTAGTATGAGATTACCTTGAGGCACAGTGTCAGAATCTGCCACAGAGATGAAGACAGTTTTGTGTGGATAAGATTCCTTTTAGTGGCAAACCTTGAATCTGTACCCTTCACCAGCTGGTTTCTAAATTAGTGGGAAGAAAGATTTTTGCTAAAGCACGAACTGTAGTATAAAGTATAATAATTGATTAGGCTGACGACTTCTTTTCAAAAGAATGAATACTGTTTTATGTACAGAAAATGAAAAACTTACTGCAGGTTGCACTGGAGGTAACGGAGTTTCAAACTGAGGTATGATCAAACTTAGTGGTTCATGCTTGATGCGTAGTTTTTTCGTATGCCCTTTTAAAAACGATCAGATGATTGGTTATGTACATTAACAAATAAGGCTTTTGGAAAGAAAAAACAATAAACCTGACACATTGTATCTAGAGAATATATCAACAAATCTTTATAAGGTTTAAAAGCACAACTTATAACTAAATCTGCTTAAACAATATATAAGCGAGAAACAAAAACCAAGCGAAGATGCTGTTTACCCCGTACTTGTAACTTCTATCCTTCTTTCTCTACTTTTCATTTTCAATAGCTGTGCTTGTACATAGGGTTATACCATGTTCTATTTCACTACTGACCATTAAAATAGATTTATTCAATAGACAAAGAATGTTTTATTCTTTAGAACCGAGCTGCATCTAACTTCTATCACTACTCTATAATTTGACAATTTCCGACATAAAAACCTCGTACCTATAAAACAGGAATCGCATTTCCTAGTTTGTTACTCATGTGACCATTAGCGAAATAAACTCTTCATTAAAACATCTCAATGGTAAAAAATACATTGGTTAAGAACAAAGACATTTACAAAGCTGAACGCATAAAAATAAAGTGCTACGTACATTAGCTAACAGCTTCTGAACGTCTTTCTTCTCAACATTTTAACTGTGAAGATTTAATTACGAATGAAACTCATTTAGGATGCACGACTGTGATAAACTGATATTTTTAAGAATATACAAATATTTATGCTGGGTGATGACTGAGGGTGAAATGAAAATTTAGACTGCGGCCAGATTCCAACCAGTGCCCATGCCGGAAACCCGGTGGTCGCTGGTTGGAATCTGGCCGCAGTCTAAATTTTCATTTCACCCTCAGTCATCACCCAGCATAAATATTTGTATATTCTTAAAAATATCAGTTTATCACAGTCGTGCATCCTAAATGAGTTTCATTCGTAATTAAATCTTCACAGTTAAAATGTTGAGAAGAAAGACGTTCAGAAGCTGTTAGCTAATGTACGTAACCCCCAAGTTCGAGTCCCAGAGGGAATAACGTCACTCACTGGGAGGCAGGTACATCCAGCTGACGAGCCCCAAATAGGAAGAAATGCGAATCCTGGATTCCACTGCTAGCCACTGCCTATCACTACTATATTTAATTAAAACACAGGCAATATCGAGGCATCTGTACAGGAGCCCGTATGCCAACAGAGACTGATCAATTCGGTCCAATCAACAACGGTGTAATATAAGCAATAACACTAATACGTAGGTTTGTCTACTAAAACAACACACGCTAAACATTCACCAAAACGGTTGCAAAAAATATTCAGTAAAAACCATTTCACTATCCACAGATATCCACTATCCAGATATGATCATCAGCATGCTCCATCAGTTCTAGATTTAGTATTTTCACATACGGATGTATGCTTCATCCGGCACCTAGCACCCCTTGATAAAAGTGATCACGCTGTGATCATCTTCAGATTCACAACAGATGTCTTGTACCAGGCCGATGCCCCAGCTAGATCCAACATATGGAAAGCGAATATGGGAGCTCTCAACCTGGCAGCCTCTTCAGAGGACTAGACAGTCAATCCAGAAGCTCAGTTGAAGGTGCGTGGTGCTCCTTTAAAGTTATATGCACGAGTGACTCAACTGTTCATTTCGTGGACTGTCCCGATGGGACGGAAACTGTCCTCCGTGGATAAACCACGAAATCCAAATCTTGCTACGACGTGAGAGAAAGTGTTGGAGTCTTGCCACCCAACTTGGTACACGCGAAGTGGGGAAGCATTACAAAAAAGAAGCTCGCAAAAAATGTACCGCTGCTATCCGCCGGTCTCGAATATTCTTTGAAACACGTCTTGCCCAGGCTGCATTGCAACATCCGAAGTGGTTACTTTCCTACCTGAACTATAGAAGTAAGATGAGTCGTGGCATGCCCGCCCTAATCAATGGGACCGAAACTGACTATTTGATTGAGGACGATAGGGAAAATGCGGAAGCCATGGCTGGATATTTTGCTGAGGTCTTCACACAGGAGTCTTCTGTGGACACTTGTTCAACAGTAGAAGCATTGACATCCAACAGAATAAATTCTGTGGATATCGATCGCAGTGGTGTATTTTGGATATTAAGTAATCTCGACGTGGAAAATCAATGGAACCGGATGAGCAGCACCCAAGGCTGCTCAGAGAGCTTGCACTCTATGTAGCCAGCCTGTTGACTACTATATTCAGACTCTCTCAGGGAAAGCACAGTCCCCTATGACTGGGAGGATGCCATAGTAACACCTGTCCACAAGGCAGGTTCTAGGCAGCTCCCATCAAATTACAGACAGTTAAGTTTGACTAGTACTGTGGTGAAAATCCTAGAAAGATGATAGGATATCTGCAGATGTCATTCCCATTGACTTCAGTAAGGCGTTTGACAAAGTACCTCATCCCAGGTTGCTCGGGAAACTGGAAAGTTTTGGAATCACTGGCAGTCTGCTTTCATGGATAAGAGACTTTCTTGTTGGTTGGAGACAAAGAGTTAGGATCACTTCTCAACTCTGTACTTGGAAGTCGGTAGAGAGTAGAGTGCCGCAAGGAACAGTCCTGGGGCCCTTGCTGTTTCTCATATACGTAAGTGAGCTGCCAAATATCACAAAATCCCCTGTAGTTCTCTACGCTGATGATGTAAAAATCTGGCGGGAATTTAGGGACGATGAGGATATACGTGCGCTGCAGGCAGACCTGAACAGCTTGTTTACCTGGTCAGAGAAGTGGCTGATGCCTATCAACGCAGGTAAATGTGTGAGCATACATTTGGGGCACACACACAGAAACACCAACGATATTGATGGGACTCCTCTACCATCAGTACTGACCCACAATGACATGGGAGTCACAGTGAGTTATGACTTGAAAACCACGGCTCACTGTCGATTGGAGTTTATAGACCCTCTGGGCATTACGTAGAACGTTTACGAAAATAGGTGGTGACATGTTCACCATCTTATATACATCCTTAGTCAGGTCTAAATTAGAAGACTGTGCACAGGCGTCAAATCCTTGTCTGAAAGGTGACCCAGACCTTCTAGAAAGAGGTCAGAGGGCAGCCACTCGTATGATCCCTGTGATGGCCAGCCTTACCTATGAAGCTGAACCTCTTCTCTTCTTCCTACCGAAGACAGAGGAGAGACCTAACCACACTATTCAGGATTCTAAGAATTGACTTCGGACATGATATGTCTTCTCTTTTCCTTCCCACTAGGTTGGAACACTTTAGAGGACATAGTTGGAGACTACAAAAGCAAAGAACAAACATAGTCTGCACAGAGTACTGGTTTTCGCGTCGAGTAATCAGCGCCTGAGATCAACTCCCAGAAGTGGTGTCCGCATCATCAATTGACTCGTTCAAAAGGGGATTGGACAAGCACATAAATCTACTGGAAAAGGATTAATATAGGCTTCCAACCTCCTATCCTCAAACAACTGAACTAAATCTGAATCTGAATTATCGAAAGTGACAAGTACTTATATTTTATATGAACCACAGTGTATAAGTTTAGTCCACATATTGACTATATAATTACGATTACAGGGAATTAGGTACTTTAATGTACCAGTCCAGGCTACTGGGTCTGTACATTTTTTCCGCCTTTGAACGGGAGCTTTGAAAGCTGCATTCATCAAAAAACAAAATATTTAATTGCACTCCATCATTTACATGCACTGTAAATAATATTCACAAGATCTAGATCCATAAAAGAAGGAAGAAGATGGACTTAGTTATTAGTATACAGGCTCCACGTTTGCAAATTACCCTTTAATAGGTTTGGAAACTTACTGAATCGCCTTAGGAACGAGTCTTGTATCCATGCAGAACAAGCCTTGGTCAAAATAGTTATTGATATTTTGCGGAAGTTCATCACTCTCTTGCAAACATGATTTTAGGCTGCTAGCCAGACTAGTTATATCAGGGACCTGATAGTACGTCTCAACCTCAGGATCTTCTGCATCTATTGCATTCAGTTTGATGGAATCACTCGTAAGATATTTAAATATAAACTCGAATATTTTAAAATTGTCTTCTTTGTTTATGAACGAATCAGAGAATATGGCTGTACTTCCAACAACAGCTAACGTCCCACCTTCGGGTGACTACAGAAAATAATTTCTAACGGAGAACTTACTGGATGTTTGTAAATTGCACAAACAGGCCTGTTGAGTGGGAATGCAACACTACCCGTTGATAAAAGTGCAACAGCAGGTTTAGCAACATTTAAAGTGGCTCCGTAAGGATACAAAAATTGAAGAGCTTGCTTATGTGACACGTCTTCCCGTGAAGCTATCACAAAGTTTCGGCCTGCAGTCTCTGCCATAGCTCTTGAAAATGATTGTTCAATAAGCATACGAAATACCTGTTAAGTATTCCATTTGGAATCAGAGCTTCCTTAGGGTGGTAATATTTAAAATAAGACGTTCGTAGGACAGTGTCTATCATAAGAAATTTTGAACAGCTAGCTTACCACTATTAACCATAATTCCAAACTGCTCCAAAAGAAAATTAATGTTAGTAGTGTATTTTGTCTCACCGTTCTCACCCATAAGAACAAGTAAAGACCCTCCATTCTCAATGTATTTTTTGAGTGAATTAATTCTGCAGCACTAAACTTCTCAGTTGCTCCGGGTATGACAAACAGCTTGACAATGCTGAGACGTTCATACGTTATGTCATCCTTATTTCTAAAAATAAGAATAAACGTAGGAATAGTTTTCTCTTCTTACACAACAATCTTCCAGGAAGATTTGAGGAATTTACATATTTCTGTAAAGTGCTGGTTTAGAGTGAAAGTCTCTTTTTTAGATTGGTTAAAAACAATGGTACTATCTTCAGCTTTCGTATACGTCGCTTCAGGCATTCTTCGAACTTCAAATGTTTGACATTATGTTGCTAAGGTGAGCCAGTTCAATATTCCGTTTCAGTTTCAGGTATAAGGAAAGTGAACCGAGTAGCCTTTACTGATCATAGCAGTAAAAATCTCTGTCAAGATCTATTTTATCCCTGAAAGCGTTCACTAAGGGAGCAGCCACTGGAAGTTCCTATAAACACTTCCAGTTGTTGACCATTCCCAGTATCAAATATTTGTTTAACGAGCCTGTCTAAACTATTTGATTTCTTCTTGCTCACTCCTTGGTCTTGCGGAACGGTTCCAGGTCTTCGGCAGATTCTGATTCAGCAGATCCAGCCACTTGTCTGCTATAGCTCTGGTATGCAGAAAATAAGGCTGTGTTGGTTTGTTTGTCTTGGACTGTGGTGCAGCAACATAGGTAACATAGTGGGAATGGAGTGACAGCATTTGATTTCTTCTGTCTATTTCTTGTTCCAGCTACCTGTGGGTAGACCGTGGTCTCTGCTTGACTGTCCAGACCTTTCCTGAAGCTTTCAGCAGATGGGACGGAGACTGCCTCTTCTGGTAGTGCATTTAAGTGCTTGCAGACTCGGAAAGAGAAGAAGTGTAAATGCGCATGAGTTTTTGACCTCTGGTAGGCAATTCTCCTGGGGTTTCCACGAGGACCACCCCAGTGGCCGCTCGGTAGTTGTCCTCTGTTCGGGTGACTTGGGTCTTTCAGTAGTTTGTAAGTCACTATCAAGTCACCTCGTAACCTTCGGTGGCTAAGACAGCATAGGCCTAAGTCTTTTGGTCTATCCTCATATAGTTTTTGTCGCGTCCCAACAACCTCTTCCGTGGCTTACCCCAGAACTTTCTCCAGTAAGTCCGTGCCTCTTCTCAGTCATGGACCCCCAAATGGAGTCGTATATAAGTCTTCTAGAGCTTCATAAAGAGCTTGAGGGTGAGAGCGTCCAGTAGTCTGCGCACAAAGTGTAGTACACCGTGTGCTTTTGAAGCATCACCTGGATAACTATACCTGGTGTCCAGTTTCTCCGTCACCGTTAAATCCAGGTCTTTTTCTGCTGTGGCACGGAGTTGGTATGAACCACAGAGGGGGCAGGATACTTTCTGTGGATCAGAAGTGCAGAAAAACATGGACTGGCAGTTATCCAGATTAAATGCCAGTTAGTTATTTGCTGCCCATTCCACTTGTGGTTTGAGGTCGTCATGCACTCGACCCCGTTTTGCAGTTACTGCCCTACACAACTTGACGCCAACAGCAAAGAGGGGGATCGTAGAGCTGATACGCGGCAGGAGATCATTCACGAACAGTAGGAACAACAATGGACCTAGGATTGCTCCTTGTGAGACACCGGACGATGTTCTCCATGTTGAGCAGACCCTGTTGACTTTCATCCAGAACTATCCACTCACTGAGTAGCCCAGCAGTCACGATAGTGCCTGGCTGCGGATACCTAGCACAGCTATTTGGTGCATTGGGATGGTGTACGAAACAGGGTCAAAGGCTCTCCGAAGTCAAGAAAAATCGCTTGGACCGGGACCATGAGATCCAAGCATGCTGTCCGGTAGTCATGGGCCATCAGGAGGTTGGAAACAGAGGACCTACCCCTTCGGAAACCACTTTTAGCGTCACTAAGCGCTTGCTTCGTGTCCACATATTCCCTGGTGCGGTCGTCTGTCACACTTTCCATAACTATTAACGTTGCTGGTAGAGGCGCTATGGGTCTGTCACAGTTCGGATTCTACCTGTCTCCTTCTCTGAAGGTAGGAGAGAGGGTGGCCCGTTTCCACTCCCGCGAGAGCTTTCGGTCGTCTAAGGAGTGTTGGAAGAGATCGCTAAGCGGGCCACTAAGGGTATCCGTACATTCTCCCAACACTAATGGGCGTATGTTGCCGAACACTGGGGATTTTCCCGCGCTTAGCTTTGGTAGTCTGTCGAGAACAACAGCGTGAGTTATCCCTACATCATGCAACTCTTCAGCGTCACATAGCGCTGGGACCTGTTCGGGCAGTAGGTATGCATACCTTCCCGATGGAATATTGATCTCTGTGTCAAATGTAGTGCTCAACATTTCGGTGATCTCCTGTTCAAAGAGGTTTTCTCCATTCGGACCTTTTGTGACGCATGCTCCTTGGCTTGTCGATTTCCTCTTTCCCACAAGCCGGTATGGGCTTACCTCCTGTCTCTCCACACCCTGATTTTGCATCGATTTTGCACAGCTATATATGCGTCTTGATCATCTCCTCTTGAGAGCTCTATTTATCCCATGCCTTACTCTTGGCTTTTAAAAGGCGCTCGGCGCCTCGTTTTAGCCATGAGGTCCGCTTTCTGGGTGTTGTTACCACCAGTGGGACGTTTTGCGAGATCGCCACCGAAAGGAAATCTCTTAGCAGTTCCCAGTGTTGTTCAACAGATAAGGGCCACCAGTCCACTGGCCACAGGGCTCTCAATAGGCGTTGGTTCGTCCCTTCATGGTTCGCCCTATTGTAAGTGATGTAAGGACGGGGTCCCTCCCACGATAATTGTTCACTGACAACCAGGTCGAACACTACCATAGCATGGCCACTGCCTCCGAGAGGACTTTGCACCCGGACGTTTCCAAGCACAGGGTGACCACTCGTCAGTAGGCAGTCCAGCTCAGACGGCTTACCACCTGACCCCCAGTGGGTGTTGTCGCTGGTTTTTTCGCACAGTCCAGTCATTTGGATGGCGTTTAACAGGTTACGACCGAACTTCCGGTTCGGAGTCGTGCCACCTTGCTCTGGGCTGAGAGTTTGAGCGTTGAAGTCGCCAGCCATTATGGTCTGGCCACACGCGATGGTCGACACTGTGGATATTGCCCGGAGTAATTTTTGGTTATATTCCAAGTTGCTATTAGGGGACCTACGGATTCCTCCAACTAGATGTGTTTTACCGTGAAGTGGCACCAGATAGAGGCTGGGAGCTCTTTCAATACAGTGTCAGTGGTTTGTTCACCTCTGAACCAACTGCTGACGTATACTGGAACCCCCCTTCCTTGTGTTCCCTATCCCTCCTGGACGGGAACATATCATCTGTGTTAACTTCGGTGTAATTAATGTCCGGTGTTAACCATGTTCCCGCCAGGATTATGTTTTTTGGGACAAGGTCGGAACAGATAGATGGGGGCCTGACACTTAGTGAGAGAATACACATAAACAGATAAGTGTTTCGCCCTCAAACATTGGTTCAAATCATAGTTTACTCGGCAGTGAATTCAAAACTTTGGATGGTGATGGTAACCACTCTCAGAAGGGGCAAAAATATTAACGGGAATAATGTCCCAGCTATTAGCCAAGAAACGATCCGTTAATATAAGGTCTCCGAATTTGCTACAAAGTGATGGTGGGCCAAAATTCAGAAGTTCTATAAAAATTTACTTGGGAGAGATACAATATTCCAGAGAACATCTAACTGCGCGTCATGTTTTCTCTTTCTAAAGCGTCTGTATCTTGCTTGGGGCAATGAGAAGCCGCCCGTGAGCAGAATTCCGAAAGAGGTTTCATATATCTGGGATGTATTGCATAAAAATTTCGGCGGTGTAGCATTTCAAGGCACTACATAACCAGCAGAGAACGAGGAATGCCATTTCAAAAGCCACGTTGCGTTGTCACTGTCTCCAGCGTGTGGAAAAATTGGCTTCGTTTCTATCCAAAAGGAAAAGAAAACTGCCAAAATGTGGCAATGGGAAATGCGGTGACAAAAAAGCACCTATGCCAACAACCCAAGGTCCGGCGATACTCATTACTGATACCGACCTTCATAAGTCTACCAGACTTGACAAGCTGAGGGTCCACGGTCAGGCACCAACACCATCTGGCGTGTCGTCGCGCTACCTTGGACCTCTCGCGTTCAGTCTTCCACCCATTTTCACTGATTTATTACATTTATGGCATAGTGTCATGGTATTGTTTGCCGGGTTAGGTTTCTAAACCAATCCATGGCCCACAGCCATATCAAAATAACTACACAACTTTGAGATAGCCCTCATGCAATCGTAATTTCCTCCCCCTCTTTGTGATACGGGTAGTAAGATTTCTCGTATATCCGGAACACATGCTTGTTTATTGAATCAACACCTAATACATGCAACTGGGATGACTTGGCATCCGTTCCGGATAAACGAGAAATCTTACTACCCATATCACAAAGAAGAGGGGAAATTATGATCGCATGAGGGCTGTCTCAAAGTTGTGTAGTTATCTGGATATGGCTGTGAACTACAGATTACTTTCGAAACGTAATCCAGTAAACAACACTGTGACACCGCGATAGACTGACAAATTAGTAAAATGGAAGTACATTCTACTACTGCGCAACTTTCATTCTGGTATTCCGGCACACTGTACCAGATATGCCACTGTGTTGCGTTCTTTCTTTGTTTTGCACCCGTAGATATACAAAAAGCACGAATAATTAGCGATTGGTATCTGCGTCTGTTGAGCCCATCGAAGATCAATTCCTGATCTCGTGGAATAAGGTTTAGTTTTACTCGTGTAGCCACGCGTGGCACGTCAGGACAAGTGACAAGCAAATAAATGTTCCGTATTATATTTTTTCATTTGTTGTAATATACTTTGCCACGAATACACAAGTAAAGACACGCCTCATAAGATGAATCATTTATTTACTTATTCTGATGCGGTACCGAAGTTTTTCAAGCTGTCCAGTCTACCGTTGGTCAGGGTACGCTCAGTTCCCGAACTGGTTATCCCATTCTTTTGCCTACTTGCCTATCTACGCCTTTATTTTGATAAATTTTAATCGTTCGTATTGTAAACTTCTGAATCCACGAGGGGCCGAACTCGTAAACTTATTCGGGCTAGCCCGCCAATGCGCACGGTCCCGCTTGTTCAGTGCTGGCCAGACCACTCAGAAATACGGTTTCTGTGCGCCGGAGCTGATTTCCGAGAACGATTTCTTACTGCCGTCCGATCATTCCCGCGGGAGTTTCACGATCATGTCACAGAATATATGTTCGGCTTTA